GCTATATCTTAGAATAGAAATAATGAAAAGATCTGAAACTTTCACAAGAAACTATTCTCGCTAAGGTCTTTCTCTATGTAAAGTACCAAGTCGAAATTTCGAAAATCAATTTTTCCGAACCACGCCACATATCTCATTTGAGTCTACATAATGCGCGTAGTCTCGACTCAAAAAAACGATTTATCAGTTGAGGAATTTCCCTCGTAAGACGTTTAATAACGAATAAATTTTACAACATTCATGTCTTCAAACTATATTCGATAAGTCCGAAGTTAAATGTAATATATTTTACAGCCGACATACATGTACAGCAGTTGACAAAACTATTCGACAAAGTTTATTTTCTACTGTTATAAACGTTCAAACATATCCAATAGTGATTCGAATAGAGAAAATTATATAAAACAAGAATAAATTAATGATTATCAGAATTTCATAGGCGAAATCTCCGGTTTTCAGTACCTACAATGTTCAAATTGTATTCTGTTCCAACTACACAAAACGACAAAGTATTCTCTAAAAAAAAATGAGACGTTTTTAATTGAGATACAACAATCTTACGGGAATCTCCAAAACCAAATTCTTTACTACGATAATTTCACATTTGAGCTGCCAATTAGATTATTGTATCTTAGCTAACCGTGACAAATGTTGTTAATCTATGATCACAGATTAATGTTTACTTTCTTATTGCATTTCTGAAGGATTAAGTAAAAGTGCCGTGAAATAGATAGCATAGAACAATCTAACCTGTGATTAGCACCAGAACATTTTAATCCCGCAACAAATTGCGCTAATAGCTTTTTAGTGAAGTTTTAGATTTAACAATTAATTTAAAAATGAGACTTAACTATCGATTAGTGTACCTACGATATCATTACTACCCAATCACTTTTTAAGTTAAATCTAATGATTAACAATATAAATATATTATAAACTGTTCAAAGTATTTCAGTAAAACAAAAAACTGTTAGTTTAATTCTTAATATGGAATCAATATGTGAAATATGATTGAGCTACTAACTTCATCAATTAGGAATTTATCAATATGTTTGTCGGTATCTCTGATAGAGAGACATTATTAAAATGCCTGTTAAATCTATGGATGGGTATAAATTTCTAAATATAAATCAAGGAAAACAACTTGCTTTCATATTATCTGATCTTGTTAAATATGTATTTAATATGCGTGTAGAAACAATGTACCTTTTGTGAAACACAATCTGAAAGAAGTGTTGAAGTGTATAGAGTAGAAATTTTGGACCCATTCCTCCCTCTTCCCCATAGACCGTGACAGAGAAAATTCATACCCATCACAGACCGTGACAGAGAACTTCCAAAGACCATCGCAGACCGTGACAGAGAGATTCCAGAGACCATCACAGACCGTGACAGAGAAACTGTAGATTTGAAGCATCAAATAAACGGTCAGCTAGAAATCTATCGTAAAGAAATGGAAGAAAACGTTGTCCATTTAATTCGTAACAATAGGTCCATCGTGTTTCATACTTTTAATCCCACAAAGGATTGCGCTAACAGCTTTTTCATGATATTGATAGTGATAATTAAATATAAATATTATTTAATCAGTTGATTTTTTCTTTGTTTTAACACGTATTGCTTTTAACAGTAATGATGCATTATTTTGTAATCTCCGTTGATTTGAACAAGTAATTGTTGATGATATTAAAGCATGTTTTAAAAATAACTGATCATCAATTCCAATTATCCGTTGAATAGTTAATTATTATTATATGGTCGCTTCTTATGAATTATTACATAATATTGATTGAAATTATGATTTAAATTTTCTTAATCGTCTTGAAAGAGTTTTAGTTAGATTTATGGATGAAAAAAAGATGCATTTTTATCGAATTTCTCTTTTTAATTATCTTTTTTTTTGAATGTCTCTTATTATTTATTTATTCTTGTGAAATAAAATAGATGAAAATTCTACAAAAGTTCTTATTTATTTAATTGAAGATCTATCTGTTGGTTGTTTTCATTGAACAGTATTAGATATAAAATGTGTTATAATAATATATTTATGTTCTTTTTTTCTATTGATCACCGTTTTGCACTATTTCTCCTTAATCCAGATAAAGATCTTAATATGTTTTTTCAGTTGTTTCACATATAAATTGATGAGCTTTGCTGGTCTTTCTAAAAGGTAACAAAGTTTTCCTCATAATAATGTGTATCTAACAAAATGAGTTTAATTTTTGAATGAAGAAAAGAAGATATAGTTGTCAGACATTGTCATCTATGGAGTGTTGATTAAATGATATTGGTTATAGATGATAGAATGATGTCTTCTCTTTTCAGTCTTATTATCTGAGATGACAATAATTTTCAAGATCGATTTTGATCGTAACTGTAAGATAAGATAATTTGATGATATTGAAATTCCATTCGACTGCAGAATGCAATGCAAAACTTCAAATATTGGTTTTCGGCAAATGAATAGTTAAGACAAAAACGAATAGTCATTTTCACGATCGAATGCAGATGGTTTTTCTCGAAAAAGTCTTTCTGTTTTATCTAGATATATGTTGTCTTTGACTATTCTGATGTTGTGAAACATTTTATATTGACTAATGAACATTAAATGTATTTCTCGTTGAAGATTATCTTTAAATGAAGAATCATATGAGATTTATTCAACATAAGAAAAAAAATAAACATATTTAAAAGACAAAAATAAATGTTTTTTCAAATGTTCTACTAAGTAAAATCTGAATAAGTTTAATGATATTGCACTCAAAGTGAAAAAAAAAGAAAATGACATAATTTAAATAATGAAAAAGTCCAAAGAAATTTCGATGTAATTGAAATATTCATCTTCTAATGAATGGCATTATAATGAGCAACAAAATGATTTTTATACAATATTTCTAAACACATTTTTTCATTAATGGTAAATACATCTGCAATGCCCATTGAATTCAAATAAGCGTTGAATGATGAATTTCCATTTGCATTGTATCGAAGAAAATTTTTGATTGAGTCGTGTTTAACCTCATTTCTATCCAACTTCATATATAATAATTCAAGTAACGTATCATAATCAATTCTTAATGTACTAGCAATGTTTTTAATAATCAATTCAAGTTGATCAAATGTATTAGAATCAAATTGTGTTTGAGGATAATTGTCATTAAAATCAGCAATTTCCCAGGAAATATTATCACCATGAGCACGTAATATATATGCATTTATAATTATTTTTGAATAATAAAAATCTGGAATTCCTTGGTGAACCATAGTAGTTCGAATTTGCCGTACAATGGGCGTTAAAATTTCCACTGTTGTACGGTATCTTTTTGTTTCATAATTCTCGTTTTTCAAATATTTAATATCAGTCTCTAAATTGACAATTTTCTTCTTCATTGTTTGATTATCATTTATTGTATCGATCAAAATACTTCTAATTTCGTTAAAGATACGATCTAATTCTTGTCCTTGTTGTCGATTTATTTGATAATATTCATTAACAAAATAAATAATGTTGTCGAGGAGAAACATAACACGTTCAATAGTAGACGATGATTGTTTATTCAATGGTTCAATAAACTTTTCATCTGAAATATTTGCCACTTGTTGTATCAACTCAGCATAAGCTGGACATTCTTTGGACAAATACAAAGATAAAATTGAAAGAATTTTTTCTTTAAGTGCATGAGCCATTTTTTAACGAACCATAATAAATCTGAAAAATAGAAATATTACTTTAATAATCTGAAATCTGTTAATGAAAAAAAGAGATATAGAAACTTCACTAGAAAAAATCAGTATTAATCAAGTACAATTTATCGACCATGTTGAATATACCATTTTGTTTGTTTTTGTCCGGAGAATCAATCTCAATTTTAACGAATGAAATTTTTCATATTTTCCTTGCTATCATTTCGCATTTAGAGTTTATAGATGGGGTTCCATTATATAGTTAACATATCAGTACATTTTTTCTCAATAAACTTATTTATATGAAACATCAATGACAATTTAACATATATTGACTATTTTTTCAAATGTAATATGCATATGAGTCCTTAATAACAAGTAACGCAAATCCTATAGGCTCGCTGATCCTTCTCTGAAAGAAAAAATTCACGATGTTGAAAATTATTATGTGAAAACTATTAGTATTTTTCTTCTGTACAATGTTGAAAATTAAGAGAGGATCCATGAAATCACCACCCAAAATAGTAGAGATAAGTTGCCGAAAAATTTTACTTTTTGAAATGAGTTTAAAAGAGCATAAAAAGTTACTCAGAAACCAAAACTTTTACAACTTTTGGGCAATGTCTTCATATACTTCAGCGACCTAAAAGTTTTGACCCAAAATATCGGTCCGACAAAAAGCTATAGTTTTTCGATCATTTTGTTTATGAAATTTTCCACCACAAAAATTTTACCAAAACTATTATCAAATTATACCAATCGATAGAGCAGAAGCCACTCTACACAACTCTTTATTTCCTATATGTCACTACTTACTCTCTGAAACGAAAAAAGTCATTATAATAGGTGAAGTCAACCAATTTTTGTTCTATTTTACATGCTGTGTTTTACCATTCTTGCTTATGTTATGCAGTTAATTCTCAAGAGCCTAAGGTAAATTTTACATAGTTTTGTAGAGCGTCAAAAGGCGCATCTTTTGATTAAAAAAATATGAGTACTAAAGTACTAGCAAAGTCCCAAAAATTCCATAATAATGCTGGTTACTGCACAGGTTCGAAAAAGAATTTTTGTCGTCATTCTATGAGAAGTTCATATGGTTCGATAGAGCTTAGTGTGCTGATTACGAATATCACATTTTTTTTTTAAATTAGTCTGATAATAAGAAAGATTTGAAGTATTTTCTGAAAGCTCTAAAACTAGTTTTTCATCTGTAGATTCATGAAAACCCTATTCAGATTCATTGAAAATAGGCTCATTCGATGCAGAATATTTTTCTCTATTAGAACTGATAAGACCCTCTTAGACATTCAAATCTTTTGCTATCGATAAATGTCGAATACCGCCCCAATTGGATCATATTCTTACAAATAATGATTTTTTCAGTCTTATGAGTTTATAGATTTTTCAGGTGTACCAGCAACTTTTTTTTTACCGACTACATAATTTAGTG